TGTGATCCTCCTGCCTCAGCCTCCTGAGCCACTGGGATTACAGGCATGTGCTGCTGCACCTGGCTAAGGTAGGCTCATTTGAGAGTGAAAATCAGTACTTTTGAGGTCTTAGCTCTTCTTTTCAAGAAGACTTTCTTAAAGGTAGGCATGAGAAGGTATGTGGGATGATTTCAATCTGGTGTTCACAAAATGGTTCATGGTGGTCTGGCTGTTCTTGATGTCTCCATTATCTGATCAATAGATAATGTTTGGAATGCACCCTGTAGTATACATTTCTTAAAATATTGTTATCTCCTTTTGCTTAATTTATTCTCAAAGTTCATTGCACAGGGAAATTTTCATAAGTGTGTGGGTTTTCAGCAACTATAAGGTTGTGAGTGAAGATCTGTAGATATCCCAGAAAGTTGACGGAGAGGAATACTGGCTTGGGGAGCAAAAGTATGTGTGAAACTTTAGCACAAGACTTTCAGATTCAAGTTGTAGTCGTCTTTTTCTTCCTTTTTTCTCCTTCTAACTATTTAAAAAATTTTTTTTCTATCCTAGCTCAGTCCCAGCTACTCAGGAGGCTAAAGTGGAAGGATCATTTGAAGCCAGCCTGGACAACATAGTAAAACTATGTTAGTCTTAGAAGAAGAAGGAGCCAGGCACTGTGGAGCACCGGTGAAATTTCTGTGGCTCAGGAATCTGAGGCAGAAGGAGTTTAAGTTCAAGGTCAGCCTCAGCAACTTAGTGAGGCCTCAAGCAACTTAGTCAGACCCTGTCTTAAAATAAAAAATAAAAAAGGGCTGGTGATGTTTCTCAGTGGTTAAGTGTCCCTGAGTTCAATCCCCAGTAAATGCTCCTCTCCCCCCCCCAAAAAAAAAGAAGAGAGGAAGGATGGCGATGATGATGGAATGTAAAGTTCAGTGTAGATAGCTTGCCTAGCATGCAGAAGCCCTAACATTGCAATACATACATACATACATACATACGTACATACATACATAATACTGTAATAAAATGTGTATAACAAAATTTATCAACTTAGCCCTTTTTAAGGGTACCATTCAGTAGAGTCTAGTACATTCACCTTGTTATGCAATAAATGTCCAGACCTCTTTTCATGTTACAAAATTGCAACTCATTAAATAACTCTTCATTATTCCCCTTCCTTAGGCCCTGACAACCACCATTCCACTTATTGTTCCTATGAATTTGACAGCTATAGAGTCCTTATAAATGGTACAATTTGGTATTAGTTTTTTTTTTTTTTTTTTTGGTAATTGTTTTATTTTTTTTTCCCCTTTGATACTGAAGATTGAACTTGGTCCTCTAGCATGCCAGGCAAGTTCTTTACCACTGAGCTACACTACCAGAACCCCTTATGGACTATGAATGGAGAGTTTTAATATTCGTGATGCTGCTCAAAAAATATTTTTTTCATATTTGTTCTAACATCCCTTTATTGTGTGCATTCAAGTCAACCTTAATCTCAACTCTATTATCAGTTGATGTAACTTCAAACAACCTAAATCAGAGCTACTCAAAATGTGGTCTGAAACTAGTCCCATTGTCTAGGGTATTTGGGGGTGAATTAGAGTGGGAAGATGTGGGGAACCTGCCAATCTGAGTTTCTTTCTCGAGTTAAGAAATGTTCTAAAATTGATTATAGTGATGGTTCCACCACTCTGTGAATATACTAAAAGCCATTGAATTTTACACTTTCAATGGGTGAATCGTATGGTGTGCAAAATACATATCTAAGAAAGCTGTTAAGAAAAGCATCGCCTGAAAATTAGCACCTGTCCATGACATAGGTACAGAAATACGTAAGTCCAGAAATCGAGAGTAGGAGTTTTGATACTTCTATAGCAGCTTCACAGTTATTTCATATATAATACCCTGAAAAATTATAAGAAAAATCTGTATAGGTATTTTCTGTGCTTATATTTTCTCGTTTCATTTTTTAAAATATAATTGTTAGTGTACATTACAAAAATATCCATGTTCCACGTACTCGGGGAAATAAACCTCAATAATAGAGACACTGACCTAAGTAAGCGTTTGTGTCATTACCTTCTTCAGTAGTCGCTGACGCGCAGCCCCGAGCCTCTCCCAATACAGAACTACAAAGCCCAGAATTCCCCCAGAGGAGCCGGAGACGTGCATTCCACCAGCCGCTCCGCGCAGACCTCTGGGATGTGTAGTGCGTGTCTTCCGCTGTGCACGCAGTCTACGCGGAATTTTTCTTCGGCTTGGGGACCGACCATACCGGGGGAAGACAGTATTTCTCAAGGAAAGGCTAAAAACTCTGGGACAAGAGGGGTGAGCTGGAGAACTGAGCCTGTTGTGTTTTTTGCTGGGGACGAGGGACAACCCAGACTTCTAAGTTACGTAACCCGCCAGGATCCTGTAGAAAAGTTGGCGGGCGTTGAGGGAAGAATTTGCCGGCAAGTCAGGGCCTGGTAGCAGCGTCGGTATTTCTTTTCCCACCCAGCACGTTTTTGCGTAGGGTTCGTCTGAGAATCTGAGGCGGCCTCCTTGCGAGTGTTGGGTTCTCCAAAGTGCGGAGGATTTGGACCGGCTGAACCATTTCTAACCTGGATGATGGAGACCGCGTTCGCTCTTGTTCAGTTCTCTCTGCATGCCCGCACAGAGGATATCTTGACCCTGTGCACCCTGCACTGTGCCTGTTAAATCGTACCTGCCTCTCACAGTCCCAAGGCCCCTCCTTTAATTAAGCGACTTCTCCAAGGTCACTTAGCTGGGGTAGAGATGGGGACGCGGGACTTTTAAATTCTGAATAGCCTCCACTTTTCAGTTATGGGTGGTTAAGTTAGTATTTCGAGGATACCTTTGCTTTGAGCAAAAAATTTTTTTTTCTTTTTTTGGAGGTGGCCCTTGGCATGTTTTACTGAACACAAAATCAAAAATAGGCGGTACTGTGGCATCGTTTTTTCTTGGGAACAGACAGCTTGACATAGCCAGAGAGGGGTCTGAAGCATACTTTTAGTCACGCACGTTTGTTCATGTAATGAGGCTCAAATGTAATCCCATCTGCACTAGTACTAAAGTGATTTGTTTTGTTTACAATTTCTCCTCCCTCTCTTCCTCCCCACCCCCTTTCTTTATTTCAGTACTGGGGATTGAACCAGGGGTGTCCAGTGTGCTAAACAAGTGTTCTACCACTGGGCTACATCCCCAGCCTGTTAAAATTTTGAGACAGTGCCTTGCTGAATTGCCAAAGCTGGCCTCAAACTTGCCATCCTCCTGTCTTAGCTGGGATAATGGATATTCTTTACCATGTTTGGTTTAAGACTTTTTTGGGTTTACTTTATGTGTAAATGGAATTGATAATATCTTCCTGGAAGGTTGAGAGAATTTTAAAAAATTCAATTCAGTTCTAGAAACCTTGCCTTAAGTGGCCAATGAGACTAAAGTAACAGTATATAACTCATGCTTATTAATTAGTTAAATTTCACCATACTGGGGATTGAACCCAGGGGTACCCTACCCTGATCTACATCCCAGCTTCTTTTTGTTTTAAAAAAAATTTTTTATAGTTGTAGATGGACAGCATACCTTTAATTTCTTTCTTTCTTTCTTTTTTTAATGTGGTGCTGAGGATCAAACCCAGTGCTTCACACATACTAGGCAAGTGCTCTGCCACTGAGCTACAGCCCTAGCCCTTCCCCAGCCCTTTTTGGTTTTTATTTTGAGACAGGATCTCACTGAATTGCCAAGACTGGCCTTGAAGTTTCATCCTTTTGCCTCAACCTCTGAAGCTGCTGGGATTACAGGCATTTGCCACCACATCAGGCTCCTGTTACATTTTCATAGACATTTATGACAGAACAAAGATGGCAAGACTTCCGGTGATAGGAGGATGTGATAGGATTATCCCTCCCCCAATCTTTTTTTTTTTTTTTTTTTTTTAGTGCATGTTCATTGTACAGAATGGTGGATTTCTTTGTGGCATATTTGTTGTTGTACTTTCCCTTGATCCCCCTTCCTCTTCACTGATAGTCAATTGAGTGAAATTAATTAGGATATATTTTAAAAGTTCTTTGTAACTGTTGCACATGTATTAGATGATATGATTTTAGTCCCAGCTTTTCTAACTATTGCTTCTCAAGAATAAATATAACATATAAACATTACTAAATTTATGATATATTTGTTAGACAAATTTTCTTTTCAGAAAAATCTTTGGTTATTATATTGATCCTACAGGTCTTGAAACACATTTTGACTTTTAAATATTTCCTCATTAGTGCTGTGAACATCTCATTTATTGGTTAAAACCTAACTAAGAACAATAATGATCAAATTGTTTGAGTTCTTTTAGGGAATGAGAAGAAAGGAGCATGAAATTACCTTGAAGGCAAGGTGTGGGATTGCATTCCTATAATGACAGCTATTGAGGAGGCTGAAGCAGAAAGATCTGAAGTTCCAGCCTAGCCTGGGCAATTTAGCCAGACTGTCTCAAAGTAAAATTTAAAAGTACTAGGGTTGTAGCTCAGTGGTAGAGCATGTAACTAACATGTACAAGGGCCTGGGTTTGATCCCCACCACAGGAGGAAAAAAAAAAGCAGTTTTGAGTTTTTTCCCCCTTCTGCTTTTGTGGTCAAATTTGAAAACTTTAGGCAATATCAGACTTAAACATTTTTTAAAGGAATACAGAAAGAAGCTCTTTTTCCTGGCTAGCTATTTAGATTTGGAACAAATCCTACTATCTGATTTAGACTAAGATCAAAGTCTCTAGTTAATGCAGAAAAAAATTTATTATTTTGAATTTTGGAATTAACTCAGTATTAATAAGATATGACTAATCATGCTAACCAATTCTTTTACAGAAGCTGCATATTGGAATGGATTTAGAATCCTCATAATGGAAACAGAATACATGAAAGCAAGCTAGTTATTTTTTATAACAGCACATTTAGCTTGAGTACTAGTTGCAGATGGCTTTCTTTACTGAAGAGAATTTGTGATGTAAATGGAAAGATATCTTTTTTCTAGACTCATCCTTTATAAATATGTTTCGTCTGAGAACTCTTTGTGCATTCTCCTGGAGAGAGTTTCAGTTTCGATCCTTCAGTTGTGAACCCTTAATTATTCAGATGAATAAGTGTACAGATCAAGAGCAAATATTTGATCTTATAGAAAGAAACAAAGAGACACTTTCAGAAAAGCAAGTTGAATGTGCATTTAATAATCTTTGGCAACTTCAAAAGCAGAAGACCAGCTTGTTAAAAAATGTTGAGTATGTAGGAGATCATCCCCAATTTCTTACTCTGCATAATTTGACTACAAATAAAATCAAATTAATGAATGATGATACTCTGGTGAATGTGTTATACATCACACAACAGTAAGTTACTTTTATGGAAATCGTTATTTATATTTTAATTTTTAAAAAATCTTTTAAAGATGAAAATGTGTTTAATTTCTTCAAGAGGGTAGTTTTCCTGATAATGTTATATTTTAAAGATGTTTGGAGGATATTTAACACTATTAGTAGTATTGCAGTTTTAAAAAGTAGAATATATTCAATCATGACAGTAGAGATGATTAACTTTGGATTATTGTGGAATTTTGTGGCAATGTGATTGGCTAAAGATAATGAAGATAGGTGAATTATTATATTTCAGATTAATGCCTAATAACAAATCAGCAATTAACAAATTGTGTTTTATTGATCTATTTGCAATCTCTTAGCCTGTAATTAAACTGATGTCAGATATATTTTTTAAGGGCTATTGGTACAATAAATTGTTTTCCAGTTGCAGTTCTTCAAAAAAGAAAAAAGAAAAGAAAAGGAAGAAAGAAAGAAAATAGAATTATTTTCTGGACTCATTTATATTTGATAACAATGTTTCACAAATTATATTCTTTGACTGGCTTATTACATACAAAAAAGTCTTCCTTGATGTCAAAGGAAATATAGCTACATCTCCAGCCCTATTTATTTATTTATTTATTTATTTATTTGAGACACAGTCTTGCTAAGTTATCCAGTCTGATCTGGAAACTTTTGATCCTCCTGTCTCTGCCTCCCTAGTTGCTGATGGTATGTGCCACCATGTCTGGCAAAGTTAAATTTCAAGAAAAGAAATTTTAGCTAGGCATGGTGGCACATGCTTGTAATTCCAGTGACTTAGGCAGGAGGATAATAAGTTCAAGGTCAGCCTCAGCAATTTATCAATACCTTCTCAAAAAAATTGAAAATAAGAGGGGTGGGTGGACTGGGGATGTAGCTCAGTGATAGAGTGTCCCTGGGTTAAATTCCCACTACTGTGGAGTTGGGGATAAGGGTGGGGTGGGAGGGTGAGTGGGTGGGGCTCTGAGAAAGTGGGAGAGAAAGATACATTTTACATTGTAAGGAAATTCAGTCTTCAGGAGAACTGGATTCCCTCAATAAAGGAACCCAGGGACAAGGGGTAAAAACACCAAAATTAAACATTAGTCCTTTTATGATAATCTGCCCTTTCCTGGTTAGGTAGCTATAGATTCAGCATTACACAGGTATTGCAGTTTTGTTGTTATTTTTGTTACCTGGGTTTGAACTTGGGCACTTAACCACTTAGCCACATCCCCAGGCTTTTTTTTTTTTTTTTTCACTGAGTTGCCTAGGGCCTCACTAAGTTGCTGAGGCTGGCTTTGAACTCATGATGCTCGTGCCTCAGCCTCCTGGACCACTGGGATTACAGGCATGTGCCACTATGCCCAGCATGCCATTTTTATTTATTTGTTTTATTTTTATTTTGAAAATCAGAATTAGATTAAAAAAAAAAGAATAATTTTATTTTCAGGTTACAATATTCTTTTTCTCTGATATATATGAAGGGAACACAATTTTAAAGATTAAGGTGATTGGTGACTATTAGCATTTTTGTGTCTTTACATATTTTCTCCTATAAGATATTTTTATAATCAGAACAAAGTAATACATTTTATATGTCCTTTTGGTGTAAAACAAAGCATTGAACATTGTTCAGTGGAGGATTTTGAAATGAGTGGATAAAGAGGATGAGGTCATGAAATAAAGTAAAGATGCTTATTTATTGGACTGAACCAAGAAATCAGAACACTGAAATGGGAATAGAGTAGAAATAAGAAATGCCTATGTAAAAGCAAAGTAACCCGAGGTTCTTACTGCATGTGTTTTTAATGATTTAAAAATATGTGTGTGTGTAAAATTATTTTCTCCTGTTTTAATTGAGGTTCGCTGTTAAGGCCCATGATCCATTAATTCAAGCACTAGTTACAGAAGCATGGAAAAGGATGGAAAGGCAAGTATCTGGGTTCATCTTTTAAAGTTAGGGTTATCATTTTCAGGGTTAGCACAGTGAAATCCTGTAGGAAAAAAAATGGAGAGCTGCCACCTACCTGTCAAGCTTTTATGGAAATTAATGTATTTAAATTCAATTTAGTTTCAGGGTTTTTGATTGTGTAATGTGTTTTTGTTATTTAATAGAGCAAGAAAGTATTTCAGATGTTCCCTTTTTAACTAATAGCCCAGAATAGTGAGTGTGCTTTTCCACATATATATAATTAGTCAAAGTATAAATAGGGTAGAGTCATAGCTACATACTGGACTAGCTGCTTTGACTCTTATCTACCAGAGTTCTGCTTCAGAAAGAAAAGATTTTTTGATTTGTCAATTAGAACCTAGAAGTACAAGAGCTATAAAAGGAGAATAAAGAAGATCAGTTTATTGAATGGAAGGCCATGTAGCCTGTTTAGTTACTTGTCTTTCACTTCATTTTTTTCATTGTTGTTCTGGAAATTAAACGTAGGGGAACTTTACCACTGAGCAACATCTCCAATCCTTTATATTTTTTATTTTGAGACAGGGTCTCACTAAGTTGCTGAGGGTCTCTTTTAGTTGCTCAGGTTGGCCTCACACTTGTGATCTTTCTGCCTCAGCCTCCTGAGTTGCTGGAATTATAGGCATGCCACCATGCCCAGCCTTTCACTCCATTTTTATGTACAGACAGTGACTAGAACTTACAGGTAACTTAGAAGCTTTTTGAAGAAAATAAGTCCATTGCTCTGGACAATATTGATTGAGACCTATTTTCTATAGTATACATGGGTATATTTTTATCATTTTGCCATAATTGATATAATCTAGAAAAACAAGAGATATGTTCAGGATATTCTTGTTGAGATGTCTGTTCTGTAAGAATATGTGGAAAGTTCTCCATGTATAAAAGAACTGAGATCATAACAGATCTCATATTAGGAAAGCTTCAGCTATTTCTGAAAACTTTGAATTTTTTAACCTAGGAATTTTGGATGGCTAAAGGCCATTGTTAGTAAAATAGGACATATGACAGTGAGGAAAGAGAAAAAATGTGGGAACAGATAAGAGTTTTTTTTTTTTTAATATTTATTTTTTAGATGTAGTTGGACACAATACCTTTATTTATTTTTTTAATGTGGTGCTGAGGATCAAACCCAGGGCCTCGCATGTGCGAGTGCTCTACCGCTGAGCTACAATCCCAGCCCCAGACAAGAAGGTTTTAAAAACTGCAGCGCAGCCCTACCTCTAAACCAAATAGAAAGGTACAAATTTGACCAAGATAAAGGAGAAATAGACTATTTTTTGACAGAGAGGAGTGAGCATTCTCATATTTTTGTTTTTTGGTATATTGCTTCTCAAAGCTTAAATTTTTACAGTTGTTATTTATATTGCCAAATGCTTTAGGTCTTTATTATACAAGCTGGATTAAAGAGGTTCAGAAGGGTTCTCTTGATTTAGAAATTCTGCATCCATCTATGAAGTTGTAGTTTTAGTTAACTTCATTATTTAACCCTGGTTGTCATCTTACCCATTCCATTTCTCCATTCTTGCTTGCTTTCTACCATAACTATCTTTTATCTAAGGTAAACAGAATAATCTTAATTCTTTTTGCAAACAATAAGAAATGTATACTTATTATTTGTTTTGGGTTAAATTTGGTCATTGTTGGTGCTAGGTCAAAGCCTTTTTATTCCTCTTTAAAACAGCAGTAGGTGTTATATGAATTATATAGCTTGAAATCAATTGTAAAATAGATTTTTTGGTTTTACTATTTATGAAACAATTAAATTACAAATGTATCATTATACTTCCCAGTAAATCAGACTTTACATTTTAATGTATTTTCACTTCAAAATAACTCAGAAGATAATGCTTTGTTTTATATGGTGGTTCTTTCTTTCTGTTTTTATCATGTTTCTGTTTGTATCGTGTGTGTGTGTATGTATATTGAGATGAGGTCTTGCTATATTGCCTAGGTTGACCTTAGACTCCTGGGTAAATGAGTCTATTGCCTCAGCCTTCCAGTAACTAGACTATAGGCGTGTGCCACTGTGCTTTGCAAAGTATATTTTTTATAATATCAAGTTATAAAAATTTAAAACCCTAATTTATGTCTACAGAACTTCTAATAGAGTTATAGAATAAATATAATTTCTGAATTTTTCACATATTAATTTTTTGTTGTAATAATAGCTATTAATCAGTGATCTGGCTAAAATATCTATGGATTTGTATTTTATAAATACAATATGTAATAATTCAAATGGGATAGATTATTCTGGTTTAGCACTGTATGATAGATCATGGCAAGGACACTTAACATATTTAAAGCCAGAAGTGGAAAAAATAAAAACTATTATGGATGATTTATTTATTCACTTTTTAAAAAATTGGTGCATTCTAGTTGTACATAATGATGGGTTTTGCTGTTATATATTTGTACATGCACACAATATAACAGTATAATTTGGCCAATATCATTCCTCAGCACCTTCCTGCTCCCATTCTTTAGTCCCTTTCCTCTGTTGATCTCCCTTTGATTTTTAGGTGATCCACCTTTACCTTTTTTTCCCTTTTGCTTCTCTTAACTATTGCATATGAAAGAAACCAGATGACTCTTGACCTTCTGAGTTTGACTTATTTTGCTTAACATGATGGTCTTTATTTCTATCCATTTTCCTGCAAATTATATGATTTCATTTTTATTTATGACTGAATAAAATTCCATTGTGTATATATACCACATTTTCTTTATCTATTCATCCACTGATGGATACCTAGGATGGTTGCATAGTTTTGCCTATTGAGAATTGTGTTGCTATAAACATGGGTGTACATGTATGTATCACTGTATTAAGATGACTTGAATTATTCAAGATAAATACTGAGGCATGGTATAGTTTGGTCAAATGGTGGTTCCATGCCTAGTCTTTTGAGGACCCTCCATACTGATTTCTACCAGTGGTTGTACTAATTTACAGTCCCACCAACAGTGTAATTGTATTCCTTTTGTCTGTATCCTCTCCAGCACTTATTATTATCTGTATTCTTTTTTTTTTTTTTAAATTTTTTATTGTTGGCTGTTCAAAACATTACATAGTTCTTGATATATCATATTTCACAATTTGATTCAAGTGGGTTATGAGCTCCCATTTTTACCCCATATACAGATTGCAGAATCACATCAGTTACACATCCATTGATTTACATATTGCCATACTAGTGTCTGTTGTATTCTGCTGCCTTTCCTATCCTCTACTATCCCCCCTCCCCTCCCCTCCCCTCCCCTCTTCTCTCTCTGCCCCCTCTACTGACATTCGTTTGTCCCCCTTGTATTATTTTTCCCCTTCCCCTCACTTCCTCTTGTATGTACTTTTGTATACCTCTGAGGGTCTCCTTCCATTTCCATGCATTTTCCCTTCTCTCTCCCTTTCCCTCCCACCTCTCATCCCTGTTTAATGTTAATCTTCTTCTCATGCTCTTCGACCCTACTCTGTTCTTAGTTACTCTCCTTATATCAAAGAAGACATTTGGCATTTGTTTTTTAGGGATTGGCTAGCTTCACTTAGCATAATCTGCTCTAATGCCATCCATTTCCCTGTAAATTCTATGATTTTGTCATTTTTTAATGCAGAGTAATACTCCATTGTGTATAAATGCCACATTTTTTTTATCCATTCGTCTATTGAAGGGCATCTAGGTTGGTTCCACAGTCTTGCTATTGTGAACTGTGCTGCTATGAACATCGATGTAGCAGTGTCCCTGTAGCATGCTCTTTTTAGGTCTTTAGGGAATAGACCGAGAAGGGGAATAGCTGGGTCAAATGGTGGCTCCATTCCCAGCTTTCCAAGAAATCTCCATACTGCTTTCCAAATTGGCTGCACCAATTTGCAGTCCCACCAGCAATGTACAAGTGTACCCTTTTCCCCACATCCTCGCCAGCACTTGTTGTTGTTTGACTTCATAATGGCTGCCAATCTTACTGGAGTGAGATGGTATCTTAGGGTGGTTTTGATTTGCATTTCTCTGACTGCTAGAGATGGTGAGCATTTTTTCATGTACTTGTTGATTGATTGTATGTCCTCCTCTGAGAAGTGTCTGTTCAGGTCCTTGGCCCATTTGTTGATTGGGTTGTTTGTTATCTTATTGTCTAATTTTTTGAGTTCTTTGTATACTCTGGATATTAGGGCTCTATCTGAAGTGTGAGGAGTAAAGATTTGTTCCCAGGATGTAGGCTCTCTATTTACCTCTCTTATTGTATCTTTTGCTGAGAAAAAACTTTTTAGTTTGAGTAAGTCCCATTTGTTGATTCTAGTTATTAACTTTTGTGCTATGGGTGTCCTATTGAGGAATTTGGAGCCCGACCCCACAGTATGTAGATCGTAGCCAACTTTTTCTTCTATCAGACGGCGTGTCTCTGATTTGATATCAAGCTCCTTGATCCATTTTGAATTAACTTTTGTGCATGGCGAGAGAAAGGGATTCAGTTTCATTTTGTTGCATATGGATTTCCAGTTTTCCCAGCACCATTTGTTGAAGATGCTATCCTTCCTCCATTGCATGCTTTTAGCCCCTTTATCAAATATAAGATAGTTGTAGTTTTGTGGATTGGTTTCTGTGTCCTCTATTCTGTACCATTGGTCCACCCGCCTGTTTTGGTACCAGTACCATGCTGTTTTTGTTACTATTGCTCTGTAGTATAGTTTGAAGTCTGGTATCGCTATACCGCCTGATTCACACTTCCTGCTTAGCATTGTTTTTGCTATTCTGGGTCTTTTATTTTTCCATATGAATTTCATGATTGCTTTCTCTATTTCTACAAGAAATGCCGTTGGGATTTTGATTGGCATTGCATTAAACCTATAGAGAACTTTTGGTAATATCGCCATTTTGATGATGTTAGTTCTGCCTATCCATGAACAGGGTATATTTTTCCATCTTCTAAGATCTTCTTCTATTTCTCTCTTTAGGGTTCTGTAGTTTTCATTGTATAAGTCTTTCACCTCTTTTGTTAGGTTGATTCCCAAGTATTTTATTTTTTTTGAAGATATTGTGAATGGAGTGGTTGTCCTCATTTCCATTTCAGAGGATTTGTCGCTGATATACAGGAATGCCTTTGATTTATGCGTGTTGATTTTATATCCTGCCACTTTGCTGAATTCATTTATTAGCTCTAATAGTTTCTTTGTAGACCCTTTTGGGTCTGCTAGGTATAGAATCATGTCATCTGCAAATAGTGATAATTTAAGTTCTTCTTTTCCTATTTTGATGCCTATTATCTGTATTCTTGATGACTGTCATTCTTACTGGTATGAGATAAAATCTCAGTGTAGTTTTGATTTGCATTTCCCAAATGGCTATTGATGTTAAACATTTCTTCATGTATTTGATATCTATTTACATTTCTTCTTTTGAGAAGTGTCTGTTTAATTCATTTTCCTATTTATTGAGTTATTTGAATTTTTGGTGTAAAGTTTTTTTGAATGACTTAAACATTTACAAAACTGGAGGCTAATATAATGAACTCTCATGTACCCATTATTTAGCTTCAGAAATTATCTTATCTATATCACCTCCTGCTCTCTCCCCACCCTTCAGTATACCTTTTGTTTTGTTTTTGGGGTGCTGGGGATTGAACCCAGGGGTGCTGTACCACTGAACTATATCCCTAGCCCTTAAATTCTGTTTTTTTTTTTTCAATTTTGAGATAGAATCTTGCTAAATTGCTAAGGCTGTCCTTAAACTTCCAGTTCTCCTGCCTCAGCCTCTCAAATTGCTGGAATTGGTGTGTGCTACTGCATTCAGCTTTCAGTATGTTTTCATTAGTAATGTTATTTCATCTATAAATACATGTCTCTTAGAAATATAGACTCTAGGGCTGTGGTTGTAGCTCAGTGGTAGAGCACTTGCTTAGAACATGTGAGACACTGGATTCGATCCTTAGCACCACATAAAAATAAATAAAATAAAGATATTGTGTCCATCTACAACTAAAAACAAATTAACAAAAAAGAAAAATAAACTCTAAAAATACATACCCAAAATATTTTAAAAAATATTTTAAAAATATTCCTTTTCAGGTATTAATACCTGATCTGTGTTCAAATTTCCTTGATTGGCCTATGAAGATCCATCTTTTGGCCACTTGTGACTCTCTAAATAAGGTTTACACTGTGTTAAGTTTTTCTCTTTTTCCAAGTAAAGCTTTTATTGGAGAATATTGTATAAAATTACACAAATGGTAAACATACAGCATGATTAATGTGCATATATCTGTCTCTTCTGTGTAATAACATAAAGATCAAGAAACATGAACAGTTCCCCAGAAGTTCCCTTTATGTTCTTTTAGTATCACCGTCCTACCCCAAAAGGATTTTGACTTCTAACATCAAACATCAGTTTTGTTTTTATAGAAATGAAATTCTATGGTATGTACCCTTTTATTTAATTGGCTCAGTATGTTTTAAGGATTCATCTATGATGTTGTATGGTTCAGCAATCTATTTATTGCTATTGTGTAGTATTCTATGGGCATGTGTGATTTACCCATTGTGCTTTCTTCATGAACGTTTAGATTGTTTGCTGTTTTTGCTCTTGCATATTGTGCTGCTGTGAATTTTCTTTTGTTATCTTTTAGTAAATTCAAAATATTTAAATCTAGGGGCTGAGGATGTACTTCAGTTGTAGAACATTTGCCATGCATTCACAAGGCCCCATCACTGCAAAAATAAAAACAAAAATAGAAATTTATGACATTCTTTTTTGCTTTTGTCATACCATTTATTTGATGAAGAATTTGGGTCATTTTTCCTATAGTCAAAATATGAAGTTTTTAAACAGAACTGTTGTATTAGTAGTTATTTGTTAATAGGCAAACTTGCGTTAAAATTGTCAACTCAGCCAGGTGTAGTTGTGCATGCTATAATTCCAGCAGCTCGGGAGGCTGAGGCTGGAGGATCTCAAGTTCAAAGCCAGACTCAACAATTTAGTGAGGCCATAAGCAACTCAATGAGGGCCTGTCTCTAAATTGAATACAACAAAGGGCTGGAAATGTGGTTTAGTGGTTAAGTGCCACTGGGTTTAATCCCCAGTACCAAAAAATAGAAAAGAAAATTGTCATCTCAAAAAAAAAAAGGTTATTTAAATAATTTTGAGTGATTTTTCTTTTTAAATCTTTCTAGAATATCACACTTTTAGCTGTATGATTTGTTATTCTTATGATAATAAGTAATCAGTATTTTAGAAAAATTCACTTAATAATATATTAGTATTTTTGTTGCTTTTTTATTTTATGACTACATTGTTTTAATTAAAAGTTAATACTAATGATCTCCTTTATGTATTTCCTTTAGTAGGTTTGATATTAAAGTACTATCTACATTTTCCACTTGCCTAGCAGATCAACGTTTGTATTTCAGTCCACTAATGGGAAAAATAGCTGATATTGTAAATAGGAACTTGGAAAACATACAGGACTTAAGGTAAATTTATTTATGGGCCTTTTGTTGTAGTAGAAAGATCCTGGGCTTTGGATGTAAACAGTTAGTTATGTGACATAAGGCTAATTTACATGACCTCTTAGAATTTCTCCTCATGTATCTAATAAGAATGGTAACATCTACTTTTCAGTGTTGCATGGGGGTTAGAAATAAGATATGTAAAGTTGAGATGTGTGAAGGATCTACTGCTGAGCCACAACCCTAGCCCTACCTCATAAATGTTAGAATTAACCTGTTACTTTCTATAAAAATGTCTGCTTTGATTTTGATAAAGATTGAATTACATCTGTAAATTAGTTTAGAAACATTTGTCATATTAAAATCTTCTGATGTCTGTATAGCACATGATTTTTTATTTATTTAGGAAAGATATCTTCTTTAGTGTAGAGGTCTTACATCTTTTGTTTAATTTGTTCCTAAATAATTTATGTTTTGAGATGAAATTTTTAAAATTTTATTTATTTATTCTTTTTTTCTATATTTTTTATTGGTGCATTGTGGTTGTACATAATGATGGGATCCATTATCACATGTTTTACTGAAATTGTTTTTGAACTTCACTTTCCAATTTTTTTTAAAAACATATATAAATACATCAAATGACTTTGTATATTGACTGTATATTCTATGATGGTGCTAAATTCACTAAAAGTGGAAATTTAACTATCTTATTAAGCTAGTAGAAGGTATATTTTGAGCCTGGCTTTCTAAGTATCTGCTCTGGTTAGGCTATCTCTGATGTTATGAAATGCTGAAATTGTAAGAAAAAAATTTAACATAACAGTAATGGAAATCTCAGTAAAAAATTATGACTATTGGGTGAGTAGGGTTAATATACATTGATAATATTACTGTCATATCTGTTATGGTCTTCAGTATAATAAGAAGTGGAATTAGAAAGAGGACGGAGAATCAAAGCTAGTTGAAGACCGGGAAGATATTTAGGACAGATAAGGGATGGCTTTGAATGCTATAGTAAGGATCTGAAATGAAAGCAGTGACCTAGAACTGAAAGAAGGGAAAAATTTTGAATATAAGTATCTGTTTCATTTAATCCCCAGGCATCCTTCATTTGCTATATCAGAAATGAAGACTTTATGAGGATAAGTAAGAGAATAAGAGACCCAAGGTCTCTCAGCTAGTAAATGGGGGGATCAAGATTTGAACCTGGGCTTTCTGATTCTAGAGAATTGTACTGCTTCTGAATAGAGTCTAATTTTTTTTTTAACTATTTGTTCTTACATGTTTGAAAAAAAAAATTTCAGGAGGTTTATTTAAATGGCAATGTTAGGTTAATTATTAATGCTAATTACTGTTAATATTAAACATTGTAACTGAAGCCAAAGTATGTATAACAGGAGCTTTTTTCAATATTAATTGATTCGATTTAAAGGATTAAAGAAAATTGGAAACAAAAGAAGTCAGCCCCCACTTTCCTAATGATTGAGATGGTTTTAGTTTTAGATTTTTGTCTTTCTTATAGACTGTTTTCTAATTGTCATCCCCAATAGTTTTTTTAATGTCTTTTTCATTTTGCATACTTTATTCATTATAATATATCCTTGTATTTGTATTTTTCTGATTTTTATATTATGTAAGAATAGTCTGTTGAAAGCAAATGCCATATATTAATCTTGATGTGTCCCATAGTGCCTAGACATGTGACTAATGTTCCTTATGTATTTGTTTGTTTATTTTTTATTTATATTTTACAGTGGTAAGGGTCAAACTCAAGGCCCTGTGCACGTAGGCAAGTGTTCTACCACTAAGCAAAATCCTTAGCCCCCCCCTCCTTAAGTATTTGTTATGTGAAGAAATATTGAAAGTCTCCTTCCTCTTTAGTATTGTCTTATGATTGTATATTAATAACAATCTAGCCTGAAACGCTAAAAAACATGAAATTATTCAAATCATTCAGTAGTAAGAAATATTTTCCAGGAGTTTATTAATAAATTACATAGATACACAGGAAAGAGTAGCAAAAAGTCAACTTCTGAAAATACAAAATGAAGTCAAGAGTAGTGTCACACTGTACCTTGTAATCCTAGCTACTCAGGAGGCTAAAGCAGGAGGATTACAAGTTCAAGGCCAGCCTGGGGAACTCATTGAGACCCTGTCTCAAAACAAACAAACAAACAGAAAAAATGACTAGGGATGTAGCTCAGTGGTAGAGCACTTACTTACTTACATACTCAAGGGCCTGGGTCTAATCCCTAGTACCACACAAATACAAAATGAGACTCGTAGGATAGCATTCATGAGCTGTTGGTCCAAAGTGATTTCTGAGTAAAAATATTTTCCAACAAAGTAGTTTTAGTTTTATCTACAGAACAAGGTATTTTATATATTCCATAAAAAATATTAATTTGAATGTTTTTTTTCTCTAAAAGTGATTACTGGGAGATCTGAATTCAACTCCCTTTAATATTTAAATGAAAAATTTTACAGTATGCGACAACATTTTTGCCAATTTCTTTCCACATCTAATGATTTAGTTTTGGTTGTTTTCTTCAGTAATGTAAAAATTTGTCTTTTTCCTTCTTCAGGTCCTTGTGTGTCTTGATGGTCAACATATCTTCTTTAATATCACAACATTTTCAAGAACAATTAGTGAATAAAACAGAGCTTCTTTTTGACAACATGAGTTCTCCTGAGGTCGACATTGCAAAAAGAATAGTACAATTTCTTCAAAATGTTAAATATAGATATTACCCTCTATTAGAGAGGTGTAATAAAGTGTTTTTAGATAACATAAACTACCTTGATTTGGATTCCGTCAGTAAAATATTTGATGGATATCAGTTCCTACAGTTTTATAGTTTTGAATTTGTTATAGTGGCTAAAAAGAGGCTAACTGAGATGATTCCTCTCTTTGATAACCCTGCAAGCTTTGTGAAATTGTTTGTTGCATTGGGACCAGTGGCAGGACCTGAAGAAAAGAAACAGTGAGTTCAATGTCATATGCTTTACTTTTCTTCTTGGGAATATATGGAGTCTTCAAGCTTAGGTCTCCTTGGCCCTCTGGCACAAAAATTACCCAATTAAACCATGAAGGGGAAATAATCTGTTATGATCTGCTTCTTGATTCTTTATCCTTATTTATATCTCCAACTCTTAATCTACTGGTATGTTCTAAAAGGGAGCCAATAAATTGCTGGTGCTGGGCCAACACAGAAAAAACTGAGGGAGAACACTAAGTGATTTTATGTTCCCTTCCTAGACCAGGTGACTGGGTTTATGGGTTTATATGGGCACAAATTAAGTGTATTTATACTTAGAACTATAGTGGATCTAACAACAAACCCTTTTGTGGTTTCTTGTAGTCATTGCATTCATCATCAAAAGCACATATTATGCACATTGGCATATTTCCTATGTGAATTTGGTCTGACTCTGCCTTTTAAAATTTTCCATTTTTGATGGATATTGATTTAGAGAAATATTTGAGATATAAAGATGAGCAAATATGAAATTAATACATAAGCTAAATATGACTAGTACATAAGATTCTTCTTTCCTAGGCCATGTGACTGGGTTTACACTTGGGTATAAGATTCCCCTTTCCGGCATAAGCATATGGAATATTTAGAATAACAGCCCTTTTGGATAAGTATGATTAATGGATTCAGTTAAGCAGGGGGTTTCTAGGAGTTGTGTAACAGAGGAATCTGCATCATTATTCTGTTAAGGAAAACTTTATAGAAAATTTTTATTTTTGAATTATATGAAAAAAATTAAAGGGGGGCTGTGGTTGTAGCTCATTGGTAGACTGCTGGTCTAGCACCTGTAAAGCACTTGGTTCAATCCTCAGTACCACATAAAATAAATAAATAAGATAAAAATATTGTGTCCATCTACAACTAAAAATATATTTTAAAAATTAAGGGTACATCTTAAGAGATTGCATCTATATAGAAACATAATTATTTAAAAAAATGTTTACTGTAATCTTTTTGTCACCAAGCAAATATTAAAATCTGATATTAGGGCTAGAGCTATTGCTCAGTGGTAAAGCATTTGCCCAACATGTGCAAAGCTCTGAATTCCATCCCCAGCACTTAAAAGGAAAAAAAAAAAAAACTCATGCTAAAGAAATACAAGAGTTGTAAAGTTGGATTTAATTGGGTTTCTGCTTCAAGGAATTTATATTTTAATTAGGGGGAAAATAATTTTTTTATTATGTACAAAGTTGCTAGGATTAGAAGTAAATAATTGAAATATTTAGTATTAGTGCATCACAACATAGTTTATGACTAAATACTAAAATTAGTGTTGTAGACTGGAAATGTTGTGGGTACATAGAAGTGAGAGAAACATAGATTGAAGTGGTTGAGAAAAAAGCCTTGGGGAGAAGATGGGTTTGAAGCATTCCATAATGTTGGTGAAAGGATGGTATGGAGCTATGAATAGAAAATTTATTCTTCTCTCCTCAGATTTCATCTTTTGAATTTATCTTTTAAACTACTCCAAAAGACTTATCTTTTTTGTATTAGTACGTATTATAGAGGAATAGATATCATTGTGGGATATTCATATATGCATATAAGACACTTATATCTTGATTCTTTCATTACCACAGCACTTTGGATAGTTTCAAAATAGGTCATCTTGGGGCTGGGGTTGTGGCTCAGTGGTAGAGTACTTGCCTAGCACGTGTGAGGCACTGGGTTAGATAAAGAAAGAAAGGTATTATTAATCTGCAACTAAAAAACATTTCAAAAAATAGGTCATCTTTGTTAATTTTTGGATTGTAGTGTTACAGTTAGTGCTTAATATATAAGATTTTTGTTAATAGGAAGGTAAATTGGCTTTCAGGTTAGTTCTTACACAATTTTAAATATCTGACAAGATGTTATAAAATCTCACTAGATTTAATAAATATTATTAAAAATATCAATTTAATATTTTATTTACAGACAGGCTCTCACTTAGTTGCTTAGGGCCTAACTAAGATGCTGAGACTGGCTTTGAACTCAAGATCCTCCTGCCTCAGCCTCCCCAGCTTCTGGGATTACAGGTGTGCACCTGGCTTACAGCCTTTTATTTTAAAAAAATTACAAGTTAGCCAGGCATGGTTGCATATACCTATAATCCCAGCAGCTGGGGAGGCTGAGGCAGGAGGATCACAAGTTCAAGGCCAGCCTTAGAAACTTAGCAAGGCTCTAAGCAACTTAGCAATTAGTGAGACCCTGTCTCAAAATGAAAAATAAAAAGGACTGAAAATGTAGCTCAGTGGTAAATCACCCCTGGGTTTAATCCCCAATTCTGAAAAAAAAAAAAGAAAGAAAATAAAAAATATTAGGTTAATTATCAGTTTTTAATTGTAAAAATATTTTTCTTTGCTTTTAGACTTAAATCAACCATGTTATTGATATCAGAGGAGCTCACCAGCCAGCAAGCCTTAGCAGTGGTGAAAGCAATGGAAGATATGGAAAGCAGAAATTCACATTTGATTAAAAAGTAATCTTTACTGAAAGTCCTGGTGTTTAGTTGTCATTCAGAAGTAGCCTTTTTTTTCCAAATTTTTTTTTTTTTGTAGTTGTATATGGACAGAATGCCTTTATTTTATTTTTAATTTTTTTTTTTTTGTAGTTGTAGAGGAACAGCGTTCCTTTATTTTGTTTTGTTTATATGTGGTGCTAAGAATTGAACCCAGTGCCTCACACATGCTAGGAAAGTGCTGTGCCATTGAGCTACAGCCCCAGCCCCATAAGTAGTAAAAGAATTGAGTAAAATAATTGTTTTTTATAATAATTGTTTTGAAGAAATAAGGAGTCAGCACTTAAGGCATTGCTTTTGTTCTTGTTTCTTTTTCACAATAGAGGTAACAAAAATTTTTATATCATCTTTCATTTCATTTACTGCTGCTGTTCTACTAGAGCAAAGTATCATAATCCACACAAGTGGAGAGCACAGAACAAGGAACCTACTATTCAAGAGAACAGTTAACATCCATCTATACTACAGTGTTACCTTGAAAAAATAATACCATATTCTGGCTTTTTAAAATTTATTTACTTATTTTTTAGGTGTAGGTGGACACAACACAATGCCCTTTTATTTTTATGTGGTGCTGAGGATCAAACCTGGGTCCCGCCCATGCTAGGCAGGTACTCTACCGCTGAGCCACAATCCCAGTCCCGTATATTCTGGCTTTTTTGATAACTTGAAATTGAGGAAAAAAATATATTTTTAAATTATGTATGCTTAATTTTCATTATCTATCATATGTGCATTTCTTTTGATATTTCTTCTAGTTACCTCTTAGCATTTCCCATTTATATATATATATATGTATATATATAATATAATTATTATATATATATATATATATTTTTTTTTTGTTCTAATTATACATGACAGTGGAATGCATTTTGGCCCATCATACACAGATGGAGTATAATTTCTCATTCATCTGGTTGTACATGATGTAGAGTTACACAGTCATGTAATTATATATGCACATAGGGTCATAATATCAGATTCATTCTCCTATTATTCCTACCCCCATGGCTCCCATTTTTTTTGTGTGTGGTGGTCGTGCTGGGGATTCCATTGTTTTTAAGCATTTCTGTTTGAGGGCCAGTAGATTTAAGGAAGAAAATTAAATCACTTTTGTCAATTGTTATTAATTTGGTAAAGATTTTGTTATGAGGCAGATGTAGAATTTGTAGTCCTGTTCTGTGAAATTTTTTTTAAAAAATTATTTAGGAAGTAAAACTATGCTTTTCTAGCTTTTTACTATTCATAGTTGAATATTATTTATTTCATACTTCACTGATTGTTTAATTTTAATTATTTACATTTTTTCCCTCTTTTTCTTCCTTCCTTCCTTCCTTCCATCCTCTCACCCCGCTTTCTTGTACCGGGGATTGAACCCAGGGGTGTTTTACCACTAAGCTCATCCCTAGTCTTTTTTTTTTTTTTTTTGATACCAGCGATTAAACTCAGGGGCACTTGACCACTGAGCCACATCCCCAGCCCTGTTTTATATTTTATTTAGAGACAGGGCCTCTCTGAGTTGCTTAGCGCCTCACTTTTGCTGAGGCAGGCTTTGAACTCTGGATCCTCTTGAATCAGACTCCTGAGCTGCTGGGATTACAGGTGTGACCACTGCGTCCGGCCCCTTGTCCTTTTTATTTTTTATTTTGAGACAGGTTCTTACTAATTTGCCAAGGCTGGCCTTGAACTTGCTAATCTTTCTGCCTTAGCCTCCTGAGTTGCTGAGATTACAGATGTGCACCACACCACCTGATTTTTTTTTTTTTTTTTTTTGGTAACTTGGATTGAACCAAGGGGTACTTAACCACTGAGTCACATCCCCAGCCCATTTTTATACTTTATTTAGAGACAGGGTCTCACTAAGTTGCTTAGGACCTTACTAAGTTGTTGAGACAGGCTTTGAATTTGAGATCTTCCTGCCTCAGCCTCCCCAGCTGCTGGGATTATAGGCATGGCTCACACCTGACTCTTAATTATAATTGTTTACATATTTCTATTGCCGTCTTGAGATAGTTCTGTAAAAAACAGAAAATCTTGTCTCCTTCACTGCTGTTCCTCCAGTACAGAGCAGAGTATCTGGAATGAAAACTGCACAGTGTTTCATAAATCAATGAGTAAAATGGTTGTAATATATGTTCTGTCATTCTTTTTAGAATTGCTTCAGTTTTGCATAAACATTTGGATGACTATAAACCAGTAGAGTTATTGAAGATAACTCAGGCATTAATTTTTCTACATTTTCAAAGTAAAGCGCTTTTTGTGAAACTCAGAGAATTGCTGCTTAGGTAAGATTAAAATATGAATTTGTTCAGTGTTTCGTTTTGTAATCTATCTGCAATATTTGAATTGCTTAATTATGTACAGAATTATTAGACTTTTTGGAGGGGAAATTGAGGAGTTTGTTATTAAAAATGTTAAGATCTGGGGGTGTAGCTCAATGGTAGAATGCTTGCCCAGCATAATTGAGGACCTAGGATCAAAACCCTAGTAGCATAAAAGGGAAAAAATTATTTTAAAGATGAGAATAATTACTGGAATGAGGTTCAGGCCAAATCAATCTTTTCCCCTCCATTTATCACTACTAATTTGATTTCTCATATTGATTTCTAAAAGATAAAGCATGGGATTATATATTGTAATCAAAACATTGACATATATTGAAAATGATTTTTATTGTAATAAAGTGATATGTTATTATGATTAAAAAGAATTTGAACTGAGAAATAAGGATTGACTTTTTTCAGATGAGAATTTAACATGTTAGATATAAGAGTTTACCCTTTTCTTGAAGAAATAGCTTTCTTATTTAAATGATTACATCCATGGTTATTGTTTCTTTACCCTTTCTGTGTTTCATATAGAATCTGAGTAGTGAGAGTACCTTATATATCTCTATAGTTTAAAATTTTATCAAAAATGTCTTTTCTTTCTTGCTGGGTACAGTGGAGCACGCCTGTAACCCTAGCGGCTTGTGAGGCCAAAACAGGAGGATTGAGAGTTCAAAGCCAGCTTCAGCAATGGGGAGGCACTAACCAACTCAGTGAGACCCTATCTCTAAATAAAATACAAAATAGGGCTGTGATGTGATTCAGTGGTTGAGTGCCCTGAGTTCAATCCCTGGTACCCACCCCCCCAAAAAAGTTTTTTCTCATTTATTTATTGTTTTAGTTCTAGCCATCAAACTCAGGGTCTCATGCTTGCAACATAAGTGATCTCCACTGAGCTGTCCCCCCACTCTACAAAAAAATATGTTTTTCTTCCTTTTTTTTTTTTTTGAGATAGAGTCTTAGTATGTTTCCCAGCCTGGCCTAGAAATAATGGTTCTCCTATCTTCAACTCCCAAATAGTTGGGGATTGATTATAAGTGTATAACACCATACCCTGCTCAAAAACTATTTTTGAGTCATTGAGTAATTTAAAATTTGGGGAGAATTTATAAAAAAATTGTAAGTGCTTCATGATTTAGAATTACCTCCCTTCACTTCAGTATAGACAATTTCAAGTTGGTATTAGAGGGAATGAAGTCTAATTCAATTAACATAAGTGCTTATATAAAAAGTTCCTGAAACAGCTCAGAAAACTTGAGAGTTCTTGTATTGAAATAACATCTGGTTGAGGTTTATTTTGGTACTGAGGACTGAACCAGGGATGCTTTACCACTGAGCCACATGCTCAGCTTTTTATTTTTTATTTTGAGACAGGGCCTCCCTAAATTGCTGAGGACCTCACTAAGTTGCTGAGACTGTCCTTGAATTTGCTTTCCTCCTGCCTCAGTTTCCTAAATTGCTGGGAATATAGGTTTGAGCTACCATGCCCAGCTATGTTTGTTATTTTTTAACTTAATGAAGTATAATCTACATAAAAATGTACATATCCCCCATCTTATTGCTTTGTACCTATCTCCAGGGTTAACTGCTGTTTCTATTTCTAGCTGTGTGTGATTAGTTTTGCCTTTATACTTTTATATAAACAGAATTATGCAGTATGATTTATTTTTTATCTGGATTGTGTGAATTTTAGTGGTTTTTTTGTTTGTTTTTTGTGGTATTTGGATTTGTTTATTTATTATTTTTTGAAACAGAGTCTTGCTATGTTGCCTGCATTCCTTGTGTTTGTTTATCTGTGCTAAATTAATATTTTAAAAAGCAACTCAGTTTTTTTTTTTAACTTAGATTGGATTATTCCTTCTTCTACTTCTAAATCTGAAGATTTTTTAAAAGCTCCCAGATTTTTTTATTTATAGTTTAACAATTGATGTCCTCTTGGTGGACTGTTCAGCATGGAGATTTTGGGAAAGAATATTGTATGTGGTGTGTGTGTGTGTGTGTGTGTGTGTGTGTGTGTTTTGTGGTTGGACTTCCTATATAACTGAAATGAAAGGGAAGTAATATTGAATGATTACTTTGTGCCAAGGCCTATACAAGGTCAAAGCAGTTCCTGACAGGTCATATTAGAAACTGAGCCCAAATTCTTCCTCTAGCAACAGCACTAGAAACATTACTCTGACACTGACCTTCTGTTTGGCAGGGACTATGGTTTTATTTTTGCATAAAAAACTCGGAGCATGCTTTGGGAAATCTTAGGCTCTTCTCAGTGACCCTTTGCAACTTGTCATTTTTAAAGTATCTAAATATTCTTAAATTAGCTCCCATTTTAAGCTTACCTCATATGTTGATTATAATAATAATGATATATTCACTTTTAATATATATATATTTTGGTTTTGCTGGTTGCTGATGTATTAATTTTGTTCTTTTCATCCCTACCCCTTCTTTTATAGTTATTTGAAAGTTAGTGTCATACCGAGTGAGATTTCCATCCTGGTCTATGCTATTTCCATGCTTCCTTCTCCTCACCTAGATGAAGCATCAGTATCCCGAATTGAAGCAGTTTTACCACAGTGTAACCTATATGGCTTGAATGATTTTGCCACATCTGTTTTAAGATGGATTCAGTATGATCACATGCATATGAGTAGCATTACTGGGAAACAACTGAAACTACTTCAAAAATTAGATCACTACAGTCATCAGAGATTACGACAAAGCAACAATTTAGATCTGTTATGGGAAGAAGTTAAATCTTTAAAAGAAGACTGGTTTCGTGAATCTCTTGTTGAAGAAACAATTGCAGCTTTACATCGTTTGATGGATGGAATGAATTGTATGAACGTTTCAAAGATTGCATCTTTTATATCTAGAACTAACTACCTCAGTACTTTGCTACTTGATAAGATAGCCTCAGTGGTTATTGAGCAGATTGAAAAGGTGAAATTTAAATGTTATACTTTAGTATAACATAAGTACTTTGAGAACTTGGATTAGAATTTAAAGGTTAAAAATTAATCTATGGTTTCTGGTTCAATAATTTGTTCTCCCTTTAAAACCACTACCTCCAGATTTGGGGAGATCAGTGGCATTCTTTGCTTCCTTACAGTATTGTTAAGATCAGTAATCAGAATTCTTTGACTAGAAGGAAACACTTAAAATGACACTGAGTGTATTAAGGTAGTAGAGGATGAAGAATTTTTGTTTTTCCTTTTTCTTTTTTTATAATCCTATGGTATTACTTTTATTGTTTTAAAATATTTGTGTTCAAAAGTGCATGATAAGTGTGAAAACTTAGAAAATTGTAAGATATACACTGACATCAGTATTCTTCAATTGTCAGTGCATCTTTTTAAAAAAATATTTTGAGTTGTAGATGGGCACAATACTTTATTTTTATGTGGCGCTGAGGATCAAACCCTGTTCTTCACACATGCAAGATAAGTGCTTTAGCACTGAGCTACAACCCTGGCCCTGTCAGTGTATCTTATCACAGGTTTATTTCTGAAACTAACCTATAAAATGATGCTTTGTGGATTATGTGAGAAGAATCTCACTTATATAATCACTATTGTAAATACAATATATATATATAAAATCAGGATAAGGCCTTTACTTAGATGACAGTATTTCTCAACAAATGAAAATAAAAGTCTTATTTGCTTAGCTTAGTGCCTAACAGTTATTAAGTATTGGATGAGTGAGTGAATAATGAAATTTAAAAAAAGAATAAATGAAAACAGTATGTTGATGATTACAAATTAAGAAACTTATTTATTTATATGATGATTCTGTAAAATGCACTGATATGGAAATAAGTGATTCTGTTTACTATTTTAATTAGTAGTGGGATCTGTATTAGAGTTTTACAACTAATGAAATCAATTTGTAGATTGTCTAATTTTTTCTGCATTAGCACTTTTGGAATTGTTAATAATAATTAGTCATGGAGTTAAATAAGTTTATAGCAGCATAGAAAAAATTAATAAGCAGAGTGATAACATCTATCATTTAACTATAGTCATGTTAGGAAAAAGTTGACTTAAAATAATAATTAGGGGCTGTAGGTCAGTGGTAGAGTGCTTGCCTGGCATGTATGAGGCACTGGGTTCAATCCTCAACACCACATATAAATAAATAGGTAAATAAATAAATAAAATAAAGGGGTCCATCTACAACTGAAAAAATGTTTAAAAAATAATAATTAGGTTAAAATTTTCTTTCAGTTTACTGAAGTTTAACTGTAAAATATTTGTTCTATTTATACAGATCCATCCTTTTTCAATTCTTGCTATTATTCTTCCATTCAGCATTTTGAACTATGATCCACCTCAAAGGAATGAATTTTTGGGGACATGCATGCAATGCCTTAATTCTCACTTAGGTGGGTATATTGTTTGGTAATGCATTGAATGAGTAGATCAGAGGATACTTGAGCTAAGTATGAGCTTAGAGGTGTCCCTCATTATAGGATAAGCATAAATAGTCATGAATTCTGTACCTAAGCATGTTTTATATCCCTTTTTGAAACTTTCATCATGAAAAATGTAAAACCTGTATTAAAAATGAAAAGAATTGAATAAGAAACACCTATACTCAATGTGTAGATTTAGTAATGCTACCATTTTATCATATGTGCCTTGTCTGTTTTTCTCTCTTGTTCACTTTTTTTTGGAGCCATTTCTAAGTATGTTGTAGACATTGTGATCTTTTATCCTTAATCACTGTACTATATGCTTTCTAAGAATAATAACACTTCATACTGTTAGCACATCTAAGAAACTTATTAATAGTTCCCAAATATCTAATATATAGTCCACATTTAAATCTCCCCAATTGTTCCTAAATGCCTTTTAGGTTATTTTGGACCCAGGATCCATCAAGGTTCACTCTTTGCTTTTGGTTGTAATCTTTTCAGTCTCTTGTAGTCTACAATATTTTTTCTATTTTAAACTCGGAATTGATATTTCATGGGGAGGTTTTTTACTTTTTTCTAACTTTTTGTTATTAAAGTTTTCAAATATTTAGAAAAATTGAAAGGACAATATCAGACATCTGTATATTGTATACTTATAATCTTAGCTTGAATAATGATTAACAGTTGAACAAGTAATATCTACTTCCTGGTCCACAATCACACTTTCCCAGTTGTTCTTTCTAGCTTTTTTAAAACAACCAGGGGTTGGGGATATAGCTCAGTTGATAGAGTGCTTGCCTCACATGCACAAGGCCCTGGGTTCAATCCTCAGTACCACAAAACAAAACAAGACAGAATTTAGTGGTTATGTCACTTTCTCCCTATCTTTTTTCTTGATATTTATTTTATAGAATAGAGATCAGCCATTTATTGTAGGTTGTGTCACATTATGGATTTGTCCATTTGCTTTCTTTTGGCTTGTTCCTCCATTTCCTGTATTTCTAGCAAATTAGAAGTTAGTTATAGAAACTTAAAATTAAGTTTAGATGTGTCTTATATTTATATGAGATCTGGAAACACATACTATTTGATTGTTTCTGTCCATTTTAACAGTTTGTTTATTGAAAGTAAATATTTCTTAGGTGCTTTAGGTGTTTATGAATTGTCTGAAAGGTTGGTGCTCTGGTGCTGATTATTTTGTGTGTCCTAAAAACGTTTTAAAATAATGTTTCAGTACTGGGGCAAAATGGAGTAAAGTTGGTCTTTCCTGTCATTGGCGTTAGCAGAAGCAGATAACAAGAGGCAGGAAATTATTTTTTCCCTGTTATTCCTTATTTTGGCTTCTGAATTGTATTTGAGAGAAGTTGGCCTTCAAGGAGTAGGGTTTAAATTTTTTTAAATTGGTATAAAATAAGTATCACATAACAGTGGGTTTTGTTGTAGCATTTTATATATGCATATGATATAATTTGATCGGTTTCATTCCACAGTCCCTCCTCTTCTTTCTCTTCTTTCTTCCCTCCACCTTATTTCCTTCCTCTACCCTAATGGTTTCCCTTCTATTTTCAGGAAATTCTCCTACTCCCTTTCTTTTATTTTTTCTCTCTAGCTTAAACATATGAGAGAAAACATACACTTGTCTTCCTGAGTCTTGCTTATATTACTTAATATAATGCTTAAGGGTAGGGTTTTATGGGGCTTTTCTTCTCAGATCCTAACCACTTCTTATCCGTGAAATTTTTAAAAGTGAACTATCTGGTAGTTCTTACCTTTTCAGTGAACACCCTCCATATATATTTTTTGTATATGTGTATGGTACTAGGAATTGAACCCAAGGCCTTATGCATGTTGGCAAGCACTTACCACTGAGCTATGAGCCCTTTTAAAAGTTTTTAGTTTCAGACAGACTCAAACTTGTGATGTTCCTACCTTAGCCTCCTCCCTAGTGGATGGGGTTACAGGCATGTGCCTCTGTGCATGGCTTTACCACATGGTTATTGTTAGGTACTCTGCTAGGCACTAGTGATAAGGGAGGGAGAGAACAAAAACAGGTAAGTTACCATTATTGAATTTACTTTCTGGTGAGGAGATACTAGTAGAAAGCATAGACAAATCTATATGGTCATGTGTGAGAAGTACTCTCAAGAACATTACTGCAGGGTGAGTGTTCAGGATGGAGCATAGTGGAGTAGGGTGGGGTACTAGCCTCAAATATTTGTACACTCAACCTAGAGTCCTGAGATCCCCAGTGAGCAGCACAGTGTCATAGAGCTGGACTTTCTGAGTTAATCCCCACCTTGATTAATAACTGTGTCATCTGGGGCAAGTCTTTAACTTCTCTGTGCTTCCCTATTCCCATTTAATATAAAACAGAGATAATATAAAACAGAGGTAATATTCTGTAAATTCTATTTACATAAATGAGGTTTAAATGAATTAACATCTATAAAGTGCTTAGAGTGGTACCTACCAAATTCTGAGCACTATTACATCATTATCACCAAACATAGACACTAGGATCACTTCTCTTTTTACTTAGTCTACTGTCCTTTTGTTTTTAGTTCTTTTTCTTTCAAGGCAGTTTTTAAAACTTTTAATTAAATTATAACAACATTTATATAAACTTTGTATAATAGTTTGAATTTACCTATATTGAATCAACCTAGGGAATCAGAAACAGAATATTATAGTATCTTTCTTCTCTTTTCCCCCTTTCTTATCCCCACCCATTTAACTACTATCTTGACTTAGAACAGTATTGATTAGTTTTGTCAATGCTAATTATATGTATTTTTAAACCTGTCTTTATTTGAATAAATTATATATTTACCTATATGTGAGGCAGCTGTACATTACACATTTTATTAAATCAAGTTTTCTTTTAGGTACATTGGATCCTATTATGTTAGTGTTTCTTGGTTTCTCTTTGGCAACCCTTGAATATTTTCCAGAAAATTTGCTGAAGACAATTTTTAACATCAAATTCTTAGCAAGATTAGATTCTCAACTTGAAAGTACGTATCTACATTTAATTTTTTAAATTATCACTTGTACTTTATGTCAACTCTATCCATACTGAATCATTTAATTTTAATGCTACTTTTTTTCCTATAAATAAAATTATTTTATGACATTGTCAGGAGGTATAGCTTACCTAGCACTTGCCTAACACGAAGCCCTAGATTTTTCATGCTTATTGTAGAAAATTTGGAAAACATAAAAATAGAAAATAGAAAGTAAAAAAATTACCCATAATTTTACCACCAGGTGAAACTGTTGATTGTTCATTCATTTCTTCCTTCCTTTATTGGGGTATTTTTTTTCTGTTTTTCTCTTGATTTTAATGTTTATATATCTGTATGTATTTTAAAGCAAATTTGGATTATTTATATATTTATTTTGTATGCTGTCCTTTCTCATCTAACCATATTTTGAGCAAAATTCCATGTCATGAAATATTTTTTAAATATTTTTTAGTTGTAGTTGGACACAATGCCTTTATTTTATTTATTTTTATGTGGTGCTGAGGATTGAACCCAGGGCCTTGCAAGTGCTATGTGAGTGCTCTACTGCTGAGCCACAACCCCAGGTCATGAAATATTTTTTGATGTCATGATTATTATTTTTTTTTTATTTGGGTACTGGGGATTGAACTCAGGGGCACTCAGCCACTGAGTCACATCCCCAGCCCTATTTTGTATTTTATTTAGAGTCAGGGTCTCACTGAGTTGTTTTATGACTCACTTTTGCTGAGGTTGGCTTTGAACTCTCAATCCTCCTGCTGAGCTGCTGAGATTACAGGTTTGAGCCACCTCACCTGGCTCATGATTTTTTTCTTTAAATATATATTTATTTTTTAGAAGTAGTTGGACACAATACCTTTATTTTATTTACTTATTTTTATGTGGTGCTGAAGATTGAACCCAGGGCCTCGCACATGCTATACAAGCGCTCTACCACTGAGCCACAATCCCAGCCCCTGATTTTTTAATTGTATATATAATATGCCATTATATAGATATAATAAAATTCACTTGTTATAGGTTGTTTCCTGTTCCTCATTATTATAAATAATGAATTATTACATAGTGAATTATTACAATCATTGATTGTTTCCTTAGAATAAATTTCCAAATATGGAGTATTAGGTCAATGAAATTGTGTTTTTGTTTTTAGGTTTTGAACCATGGCCTCAAACACACTAGGCAAGTGCTCTACCACTGAGCTACATCCTCAGTCCTTGGTAGTATTTTTTTAAATGTAGTTGTAAAATTCACAACTAATGAAAATGGTATAGAAGTTGTTCCTAATCATGCTCCTTAAATACAATAATTTAAAAATGTAAAGTGTTTTTGTATAAACGAAGTGACTTTATAATATGTGTGAAAGTATCAACCAATAGTGGGGATAAATGATGTGAAAAAATGAGATGTTTTTGTAAGTCTAAACTATTAAAATTATTAGTACTTCATTTTTATTTCAGTTTTACCATCATCACTACATTCAAGGGTCCAGTTTCGTCTTATGGAATTAAATAGAGCAGTCCGCTTGGAATGCCCTGAGTTTCAAATTCCATGGTTTCATGACCGCTTCTGTCAACAACATTATAATAAAGGTTTGAGTTTTCTTTTGGTGAGATAGTGAAATTTAATTCTAAGGTAAAGTATTAGGGAGTACATTGTTACTACTGTTAAAACTAAATGTGATACTAGAGTTTCCAAGAGGGCCTGTTTAATTTTTTTAGTTGAGATTTTGTAAGTGCAATTTGTGTTACAAAAATTTCTTAAATAAGACACTAAACCTCTTGCGAGCAAGAACTTGTATTTGGGACAGGTTATTATGAGTGTATTGAATTTATTGTCATTACATATGCGGTATTACATTGAAGTTTTTATTGGAAACATTAATTTTTTTCATTTTGTGGAATTGGGATTGTTATCATTCGAAAACTAACTACTTAGGACTCATTTTTGTTTTCATAAAGATACTGGCAGCATGAATGGAGCACAAGTGCAAATTTATAAAATGTTAGCAGAGGTACTAGGAGGAATCAATTGTGTAAAAGCCTCTGTTCTTTCGCCTTATTACCACACAGTAGGTAAGTCACTGATAGAGAACTGCTAATTTTAATAGAGTTATCTCATCAACTGGAATTTTAAAAAATTAAAATATTTTTGCAAGTTGTTGTTATGAAAATTTCCAAATACCGTGAGCCAGTCTGGGCAACTTGATGAGACCCTGTCTCAAAATAAAAAGGGCTGGGATATAATTCAGTGATATAGTGACCCTGGGTTAAATCCCTATATGCAAAAAGTTTTTTTTTTTTTAAATTTTTTATTGTTGGTTGTTCAAAACATTACAAATTTCTTGATATATCATATTTCACACTTTGATTCAAGTGGGTTATGAACTCCCATTTTTACCCCATATACAGATGCAAAAAGTTTTTAAAAACAAAATTTCCAAAAGCAAAAAAATGAACAATACAATGAATCCTCAAATTCCCATGGCCCAGCTTTGATAACAATCAGCATTTTGTTGTTTTTCAAGAAAATTTTTTTAAGGTCAGTCTTTCACCAGCTGTAAGTAAAACCCAGATTCAGATTCACTGGTCCTGGATCTGTAAAAGATTCTGTCTCCATTACTTAGTGCCCCATCATCAATAAAATGACTTACCTTGATTCATTATTTTAAGTTCATCTCAAAAACTAACTTGGATTATCAGCCTGGATAAAAATTTCCAGAAGCATTGTGCCTGTCCCTAATCTGATCAGTCTGTTTTTCGGGTAGTCTATTTGTAAAAGGCATTCTGATTTAATTGTGGATGACATAATCTGGTGCTATATGATGTCAGATGGCAGTACTGTATAAGATTCAAAAAGAGTGAGGCATGGTGGTAGACGCCTGTAATCCCAGCTCATCAGAAGGCTGAGGAAGGAAGATTGCAAGCTCGAAGCCAGCCTCGGCAATTTAGCGAGACCTGTCTCAAAATAAAAAATAAAAAGGGGTAGGGATGCAGCTCAGTGGCAAAGTGCCCCTGGGTTCAATACCCAGTACTGTTAAAAAAAAAAAAAAATTCACAAAGATATTACTAAGTTCAAGTGCTGGGTGTAAATGAAAAAGATAATGCTTTAAGAGGATTAACATAAGTTTTCTATGATTAGATTGGAAGGTGCCTGCTTAATGTAAAGGGTTGCCAGAAATCAAATATTATTTTAATTACATTAATAATAAAGAAAGTTAGTAGTGTCACTGTACTCTGTCCTTTAGACAATTTTTTTTCATGTTACTCTTTATGACAGTAAGTGACAAATAGGGTCAAGAAACAACAGATGGTCAAGGATCTATAAATTATGTCTTAGAAGTAGAGAGGACTAGGACTGCATGGATCTCGATCCTTGAGCAAATTCCTCTTTTTTTCTTTATTTTATGGGGATAGTAATGGCTGTTTAGTAGAATTAATTCAAGTATTGCATGTAAAGCATTTAGCACTACCCTTGGAACATAGTAAATTATATTTTTTTGGGAAAAAAACAGCTAGGGATGTTTGATTTGAAAATAGAAGTCTCATTGGGAACATAACTGTTTTAAGATATTTGCCCCAGCACTGCAAAACCAAAACCAAACCAAACCAAACCAAACAAACACACAAAAGAAACAAATAAAAATAAAATGTTTGAAGGATTGTCATATGGAAAAACAACTTGACATCTCTATTTAAGGGATGAGAAAATGGTAAAATTAATGGAAGCACACTTTAAGTCAGTATAAGAATAATTATGGACTACTTTATGAAGAACTTATGTTGAGGCAGAATGTGGATGATCAGATGATCCTGTGTATGTATAAGGCTGACCCAGATAATCATTAGCACAAAACACATACTCTCTTTTGTCTATTTTTTTTTACAAGTCAGGATTAGGGTTGATGATGAGTAACAAAAATCCACAGATATCAGGAACTTAAATTACACCTTTATTTCCTTCTCCCCTACATGTAGAGTCCAGGGCTGGCATGCCACCTCCACAAACATGAGGTATGCACGATACTTCCATTTCTGGTCCAAAATAGCTGCTCTGGCTTCAGCCACTCCACTAAGACCCCAGCAGAAAGAGGAGGGAAGGAGCAGGAAGGATATATCTTATATTTAAGCACAGTTTCCTGAAGTTAAACATACCATTTTTAGTTATGATCTATGGCCATACTTGGCTGCAAGTGAATTTAGAAAATGTGGTATTTATTCTGAAAGATCACATACTCTATCATTAAAAGTGAGGGGAAGAATTAGTACTGGGGGAAAACTTGCAGTCTCTGCTAGACATTATTTATTGTAAAAGTAATACTCATGGAAGTAAATGTACTAAAATATAAATATGAAAATGATCTGTAATTCCATCTTATAGAGGGTTCTTTGACATCTTAAAATTAAACAGGCACTATAGCCAGCTCCTTATTTCTATCATCTCATTTCATTCCTTTTTTAAAATTTTCTTTCAAACTAGGAATAATACATATCCACTATAGAACAATTAAATAGTACAGAAAAGTAAAAAAAGGAGAGAGAGGAAAAATCACTCATAATAACCTGTCACAAAATCAAGCATCATGATTAAACTAGTATTATTACATCATAGGCCCATTGTATTTCCATTTTGTATTTGTAACTCCCACTGTCAAGAGAATTATTTTTATGTGAAAATGCATATAAATCTTTAGAATAAAATTTGAGTAGTGATGCTTGTGTATAGGGGAATGGCATGATTAAGACAACATATTGTACGATTAAAAACTATGAAGCAGAATTTAAGATATTAAAAAAAAAACAACACTTAAAACAATCATATGAGCAGCTTGCAAGGGCACACACCTATAAATCCAGCAACTCAGGAGGCTGAAGCAGGAGGATCACAAGTTTGAGGCTAGCCTCAGCAACTTAGTGAGGCCCTAAGCAATTAGTGAGATCCTGCTCAAAATAAAAAATAAAAAGGATTAGGGATATGGCTCAGTGTTAAAATGCTTCTGGGTTCAATCCCCAATACAAAAATAAATAAATAGGGGCTGGGGCTGGGGTTCAGTGGTAGAGTGCTCGCTTAGCATGTGCAAGGTACTGGGTTTGATCCTCAGCACCACATAAAAATAAATAAATAAATAAAGGTATAAAAAAATCACATCAATCTTTAAAAAAAGTAAGTAAATAAATAAAAACAAAATGTCATATGCTATGTGCTTACCATAGAATAAACCAGAAAAGGTAGATAACCACAAATAATAATTATCCATGATATAGCCACTGTTTACTTTTGGTGTCTGTTTTTATATTTATAACTTACTTTTAAAACCAAGAATAGCTATTCTGAGGTATCCATGTCTTAATCTATTTGTGCTGTTATAACAAAATTCCTGAGATTAGGTAATTTATAAACAACAGAAATGTATTTCTCACAGTTCCAATGGTTGGGAAGGCTAAGATCAAGGAACCCATAGGTATGGTGAGGACTGCTCTCTGCTTCCAAGATGGCACGTTGAATGCTGTATCCTCACATGATAGAAGGAACAGAAGGGCAATAAAGGACCTACTGTGTCCCTCAAGAGTGATAATCTCATTAAAGAGAGCACTGCCCTCATGGCTTAATCATCTCCTAAAGGTCCCATCTCTTAATACTGTCACACTGATGATCAAGTTTTGATAGATGAATTTTTGGGAAAACATTCAAATCATAGCATTTGTAATTTTATTTATATGTTGTGAATATTTTCGTATGCCAACAGATATACTTATCCAACATCATTTTTAGTGTTTGCATATTTTATTGAATGAGTATGCTATGATTAAATTAGTCCATAATTTTTTTTTAAAGAGAGAGAGAATTTTTTTTAATATTTATTTTTTAGTTTTTCAGTGGACACAACATCTTTGTTTGTATGTGGTGCTGAGGATCGAACCCGGGCCGCACGCATGCCAGGCATGCGCGCTACCCCTTGAGCCACACATCCCCAGCCCCTAGTCCATAAAATTTTTTACTGGTCTAAGCATTGACACTAATTTAAGTGTTTTATAGATAAAATGAACTTATTTATTATATCTAAGTTAATAAACTTATTTATATATATATTTATAATAAATAAACTTATTTATTATATCTAAATAATGAACTTACTTATATCTATAAAACACTTAAATTAGTGTCCCATAAGGCATGTAAATTATTCTACTTTTCGGATGAGGAAACTGAGGCCCAGAAACATTACTGTTTGCTCAAGTTTATATATCTAGCAAATGACAAAGCCTGGATTTGATGTGGGCATTCTGGCTCCAGAATTCAGTCTCTTAGTGATTGAACTATATTTCATGTTTCGTAATTGACTTGAAGATGCTTCAGTGCCCAATTTCCCTTATATGTAAGAAATAGATAATCAATTTTCTCTTTTCTCCTTTTAATTCATTGTTTCTTTTTATTTGTTTCCTTTTTTCTTGACTTAAATATGTACCACTCTGCCCAACTTTATGATTGTGTTTTATTATGGAAAAAATTCAAACATATAAAAAGATAGACTAGAGCTGAGCATGGTGGCACATGCCTGTAGTTCCAGCTACTGGGAGGCTGAGGCCCAGGAATTTGAGGTCAGCCTGGACAACATAGTAAGACTCTCATCTCTAAAAACTAAAAACAAAAAACTAGAATTAGAATAATACATAATGAATTTCATTCAGAGTCACATTCATCAACACCATTCACCAGAATCCATCTGATTCTTTTCATGCAAATTATGGACAATATTATCATTTCAGAATGTATATCAAATGACAAGGATGACTTTAAAAACATGACAGTATCAGCATACTTCTCCCATGACGATTAATAATAATTTCTTAATATCACATAGCCTTTTGGTTTTATGTTTTATTTTATAGTTTATTTGTTCAAATTGGGATCCAAATATTGCATTTAGTTTAGTTTAGTTTTGTTTTCCTTCTATTTTACAATGCTGGGAATGGAACCCTGGGCCTTGTACGTTGTTAGGTAAGTACTCTACCACTCTGCTACTACATGCCTGGCCCTGATTTGTCTTTTTAAGTTCTACTTTTCTTTTCTTTTTTTTTTTTTTTTATAGTTTATTTATTGAGAAAATTTTTCTTTTCATAATTTAGACTTCTCCAATTGTGACCGACCCTGAGGTGATATTTAATCTGCTCATGTTTCTCTTGTATTTCCTTAAACAGTAGTAGAGCTAGAGGCTTGATTGTATTTTAGATTAGGTTGTTGCTTTTATTTTGGCCATGATGTGTACTTATTCCATTATATCACTGTTTTATTTTATTAATGCTTAGCGGTGGGTTTGTATATTATCAACTGATTGATTTATTAGAAACTTCTCTCATGGGAGCTGGGTTGTAGCTCAGTGGTAGAATGCTTGCCTAGCATGTGTGATGCACTGGGTTTGATCCTCAGAACATTAAAAAAAAAAAAGTAAATAAACAAAATGAAGGTGTTGTGTCCATCTACAACTAAAAAAATTAAAAAAAAAAACTTCCCTCATCGGCTCTTTACATATTAATTTTAGCAGCCACAATTGATCACTCATTGCCCAAGTCTGTCATTCATTAGGGATGGAAAAATAGCAATATTCCACATTTATCATTCCTTCTACATTTATTATGTCTAAAAAGAACTTTCCCATTCAATTAATTTAGTTAACCTTATGTACAGTTCACATAGGAAATACAGGATATATGCTTAAATCTTTTTTTTTTTTTTTAATTTTTTATTGTGGGTTGTTCAAAACATTACAAATTTCTTGACATATCATATTCCACACTTTGATTCAAGTGGGTTATGAACTCCCACCTTCACCCCATACACAGATTGCAGAATCACATCAGTTACACATCCATTGATTTACAAATTGCCATACTAGTGTCTGTTGTGCTCCACTGCCTTTCTGCTTAAATCTTTTACTAGTCTTCAGAGGAATTGTTTTAGCTTCTTCCAAATGTGACCAAGAGACTTAAGGAGATTTAAATAAAACTTTAATGTAGCCCTATGCTATGGTTTATTAATAATTGCTGGTTGATTTTTTTATTGATTGATTTTCAAAGAGGCCATGATAACTTAGGCCATGCTATTATACCAGATCTTATGCAGTAAGTGGGTTATTAGGTTTATCATTTTTTGTGTATATGTATGTATTTATGTTTATATATTTAGAATATATTTAAGGTAGGTGTGGTGGTGCACCTCTGTAATCCCATTTACTCTGGAAGCTAAGATAGGAGGATCTCAAGTTTGAGGCTAGCCTGGGGAATTTAGTGAGACCCTGTCTCAAAAAATAAAAAGGACTGGGGATATAGCTCAGTGTAGAGAGTCCCTGGATTTACAAACAAAACAAAATGAAATAAAATGTTTTAAGCTTGTGTGTGTGTGTGTGTGTGTGTGTGTTTTAACACCTTTATTTTGTTTATTTATTTTTTTGTGGTGCTGAGGATCAAACCCAATGCCTCACACATGTGAGGCAAGTGCTCTACCACTGAGCCACAACCCCAGCCCCTGTTTTAAATTTTTACCTATAAGAATTTACTTACCTTATACTGTTGATTCCTGTATTTCCTTAAGATTTTGAGTGTATCTTGGATAAAAGAAAAAAACCTCTTCCTTATGGAAGCCATAATATAACTTTGGGAAAACCACCAGGAATGTACTGGGAATCAAATACCCAAATAGTTGGATCAAGTCTTCTACCAGGAGTTGAAAGGTAATTTAGTTCCTAGTTTTAGATTTCACCTAAATGATAAATTTGGCATTGATATATCATGGCCTCAGTTATCAAGAACTGATTGGTAGTTGCATCTGCTCTTCATATATCTCATACAATTTACCTTCCTTGTCCTGTGGCTTCTGCCCTAATGGTCTGCCTTTGTCTGTCCCTAGCCTGGGAATTTCTTGGAAGTGCTGACCTAGTTGACCTCAACTGGATATAAATAGTATTTTCTTCTTTTGTATTCCCATTTTGCTCTACTTTTCTGATAACACTTAGCCCCTCCTACACTGCATTAATTACTGTATAGCATATGTTCTTTGTTAAACTATAAGCTGTGCTACTTTATGTATAAGTTTCTTATGTATATAAAGTAGGCATGTAATAGTATATATTAGACAAAGAAACAAATGGATGAAAGCTGGAAGATGATTTACTATAATTTGATTTAATGAATAAGTTTGTTATCAGTTACTAATTTCTTTGGGAGAAAAATAACTTGGTATACTCATTTATATTCACTTGGCTCTTGTTACTGTATAAAGATGCATTCTTGTTCCTGAAAGTCTTGTAACTATTGAATTTCTCATTTAAATTTTCAAAGTAAGTATTTATTTTTATTTTATATAGGATTGCTTTCGAATTTTTGGATTCAAAAGCTTTTTGTAGAAATGTCCCTCACATAAAAGGAAAATCTGCTATGAAAAAACGACATTTGGAAATTTTGGGATATCATGTCATTCAGGTATGAAATGCTCATATGAAATGTTCAGCCTTTGAAACACTGACTATACACGTGTTTTCTTTTAACATGAAAGTTCTAGAATTATCTTTTTATATTAAAAAAGTTACATTAAAGTATCCCTGCAACAACATCTTTTCTTTAGTAGACTAAGAAATGAAAAATCAGGGGCTAGAGTTGTAGCTGATTGGTAGAACGCTTGCATTGCATGCGTGAGGACCTGGGTTCAATCCTCAGCACCATATAAATAAATAAAAATAAAGATATTGTGTCCATTTCAATTAAAAAAATGTTTAAAAAAAATAAAAGTCATCATTCTTTTATTGTCTTTAGAAGATCTATTGATTTGTGTATTTAGTTTACAAGATAAAGGCATTATGGAGATGGACAGAGTTACAGAAGGAAAAGGCTAATATACAGACATAGAAGGAATATAGGAAAAAAATGTCCATTGTCAGTGTTGTAGGAACAGGGAGATGAAAGGAGCTATGAGGTAGAGAAAAATCTTCTAGGCAGGGTCTAAGAAGACATACCCACGTTGTTTCCAAAAAGGGTTCAAAGGCTATGCTTTTGTAATCTAATTACATAGAGTTCGTACATTTTTGTTCAGTAGTGCTTATAAGTTTTCCCCGCTGTTTTTTGTAGCTGTTTTAAAACTTCCATTCAAACTACATTACTTATTTTACAGATCCCTCATTTTGAATGGAACTCTATGGCACTGTCACAAAAAGATGCTCGGTTGGACTACTTGAGAGAACATATATTTGGAGCAGGCAAATCATGATTGTAATTTTTATTTAAAATGAGTTCTTATGGTGTGTCACATATGTATGTATTTTAATTAAGTGGACTGACTCATTAAAAAAATAGTAGGTGCAAATACGCTGAGGTGGCAGAACAAGTGGGAAGTGGGGTGGGAGTATGATAAAAGGAAAGTAAGCAGTAACAGTCAATATTCCAACCTCATAGCCTCTCTTAGTGAGATGAGAAGCCATTGGAGGGTTTCAAGTGAGGAATGATGAAAACTCACATTTTAACTGCATCACACTAGTTGCTCTGTTGAGATGAGAAAAAATTACTAAGGAACAAATGTATCAGCAGCCAAGAAATGGATTGTGACTATTTAAAGAACATTTCAATACTCCAAGCAAGAAATGGATGCTGGCTTGGATAGAGTAGTAGCAGTGAGTGTAATGAAAAGTGGTTTTCACAATGTATTTTGAAAGTAAAGGCAACAGAATTTGCTCACTGATGGATATGAGGGAAGAGAGAAACAAAATTCAATGATAATACTAAATTTTTGTCCTGAGCAACTAACTAAAAAGGTATTGCCATTATGGGGAAGTCTATAGGATGAGCAAGATGGGAAGTAGGCATTGGTGAAGGATCATGAGTTTGTTTTAGACATGTTGAGTTTATAATGCTTTTTAACATCTAAGTGGAGATATCAAACAATTCAGTAAATGAGTTAGCAAGTAAGGAGAGAGAGTTCCAGGCTCCAGATACAAATTTGAAAATTGTCATTGGTATTTAATACCACAAGACTAGATGAAATCACTTGAGAGTAGAGAAATGTGTGAGGAGATACTTGAGGACTGAGCTCCAGGTGCTCCTGCATTGAGAGCTTAAGAAGAAACAGCAAAGGAGGCTGAGCAGGGGTGGCCAGTGAGGTAAGAAGAAAAGTCAGAGAAGGTATTAATACTTCCTGGAAGCCAAAGATGAAGCATTTAAAGGAGGAAGAAGTGAGACATTATATCAAATACTGCTAATAGATTAGGTAAATGAAGCACTGTGAAATGCCCCTTAAATCTAACAACATGAGTCTAAGCCTAAGAAAGATCCTGGGTTTGCATCGTCTTCACCCCCATACATACAAAATGGCAACATAAAAATCACTAACTTTGAAAAATGATTTTTGTTAAGTTGTGTGTGAAAGCCTGTTTTCCAAGAGAAAGTAGGAGGAGACATGAGTTTTCTTCTAAATGGAAACAAATAGGGTGGTAGTTTCAGTGGTCCAATCTTGGCCTGGTCTGATCTTTCACATGCTAAGGTTATAGTGATTTTTTTTTTCTCTGTATTTTAACACATTTACAATAAAGTAGTTATGAAGGATCTACTATATTATATAATTCCTAGCACTTCCTTTAGGCCATGTGGAATGTGTGAGATGAGTGATGGGACTGACCATCTGAAACTTGGCTATTTCTGACTCCTGGACCCTCTAAATTCATTCTCTTCTATAGTTGGTAGCCAAAGTGCCTTCTGTTACAAATGTATTTTCTGCATGTAATTTGCTTCATTGATATTTGGCTTGGGCTTAGTTGAAATACATGTATAAAATATTTCCTGACTTTGCACAACTTGAGTCCCAATATATAATGATTTTGCAGAAGTGAACTTCATAAAGTTTTTTGAAAACCAATCAGAATAGTAAGCAAGTAAAAGATAACTCCTTGTAACCATTTGTTATGGTTTAGATCTGAGGTATCCCCCCAAAACTCATATGTTAATGCAGGGATGTTCAGAGGTAAAATGATCAGATTATGAGAACTAAAACCTAATCAGTGGATCAATCCATGTGATGGATTAATAATTTGAACAAACTAACCAGGTGGTAACTATAGGCAGGTGGGGCATCCCATAAAGAAGTAGGTTACCCCAGGCATGCCTTTAGAGTTTATATTTTGTCCCTGATGGCTCCTTCTCTCTGCTTCCTGGCTGCCATGAGGTGAGCAACATTCCTGTGTCACATCCTTTGACCATGATGTTCTAGTTTACCATGGGCCCAGAGCAATGGAATTGGCCAACCATGAACTGAAACTCTGAAACCATGAGCCAAAATAAACTTTTTGTTTTATTATAAAGTTGTTCTTGTCAGGTATTTTGGTCATAGCAACAACAGATTGACTAATCCACCATTCTTCCTCGTAAATTTCCTAATGATATTCATTTATAGTTACAGACATACTAAATTCTCAGTGTTTAATTTTCCATTTACATGAATGAGTTCTATTTCTCAAGCAAAGGACAAGAACCAAACCCTGAATAAGTTAAAATATTTTTACTCTGTAGCTTTTCGAATAAAATGATTAGACTGATGAGAACTGTAAATTTGCCTTTGATATAAATAATTGAAAATCCAATGTTGTATATTTGAGGTACATGGAAATCTTGCTTAAATGATTCTGGTGTGTCTTTTGCTTCTTGTTACACACAATCTAACTTCTTATGTACCATATCTTTTACTCTTTTTTTACTAGGCTGCTTGATTGAAATGGTTTTCTGTGTGTGTGTGTGTGTGTGTGTGTGTGTGTATAAACCAAGTATTTTTTCATTGAGATATAATTTATATACCATAAAATCCACGCTTTTTTTGGTGGGGGTATTGGGGATTGAACTCAGGGCACTCAACCACTGAGCCATATCCCCAGCCCTATTTTGTATTTTATTTAAAGACAAGAGTCTCACTGAGTTGATTAGTGCCTTGCCCTTGCTAAGGCTGGCTTTGAACTCTCAATCCTCCTGTCTCAGCCTTCCAAGCTGCTGGGATTACAGGCCTGTGCCACCGCACCTGGCTTCCACCCTTTTCAAGTATATAATGTAGTCATTTTTAGTATATTGTGTAATCACCACCACTATCTAATTCCAGAGCATTTTCATCCTCCCCTAAAGAAGCCCTGTAAAAAGTATTGTTTTTTACAACTTAATTTCATGTGTACATGGATAGTATTCTCTGCCTGAAAGTTACTCTGATTTTATGGTAAGTCTGTCTTATAGTTTTATCTGTCTCCCAGTATGCCTTCCTGGACACCAAATTTTCCCCACCCCTTCTCTTTAATATCTGTCTTTATAAACATTCTCTTCACCCCTTTCTTTTCCTAAAATTTATGTTGAAGAACCTGTAGGGTCTCCTACCTTTGGGATTTGTTATATATTCATGGTATATATTCAAATCAATATTTTTCAGTACAGAAAAGTAACCAGGCTTCTACTTCAGAGATCTAAAATGTTTTTGTTAAATATATTTTTATGTTTATGATAGAGAAAATAAAGCTGTATGAACACTGTCTGTTCTTTATGTAGCTGCTTGATGATCATGGGATGCTCCACATTGGTCTCAAATCTCAGAAAATATTGTGTAAGATAGCAGTCAAATACATGTCAACAAGATGTGTGTCTAGGATAAAAATGATGGTTAGTTGATGACTTGCACAGTTGAATTTGACAGACTGAGAAGGCAATTTATGATATACTCTAAGAAGAAATAGTGTAGGGTTGCATAGCCCAGAAAATGGAACCATTCAGTCATTTTTCCTAGTATTAGAAATTTAGCAAATAGCCCTTTTATCTGAAATATAGTTAAAATTTAAACCAATGACTATATACCCTCTTCCACCCTCTGCCTCAAAAGTTTAAACAATTAGTCTGTTTCCTGCTGCACTCACCCTCTTTTTGTAGATGGTTGTTAATGGTATGAAGACAATGATTTACTGGTTTTAAGTTAAAAGGTTTTTAAAATTTGATTTGGAGATTACAAATAATATACCAGTGTCGCAAAAAGAATGGAGAAAAAAAGGCATTTAGATTTGACTACTTTTACTTAAGAGACTTTTTCCCTTCAAATGAGACTCATTCATTACATTCCTTAAATATAACTTCCAAATAATTTTATGACTTGTAATCTTTAATATAATGCATAGGATTCCTGTCATAGCTTGAAACTTATATAAGGAATTTTTTTTATATTTTAAAACATTTTAAGATTGGGGATGTATGTATTTAATTTGTAATAGAAAATAAGTGTAAAGGTCCCTATCAATACAAAGGATTAGGAAACTACTCAAATTTAGGAGCCTGCTTTACAATTCATTGAGTGAGACAAATTAACAAACATTTTTTTCAACTTAATATTTAATTTCTTATTAGAAAATGATTTAAAGCTCTTATTATGACATTAAAGAGTCAATGACCAAGATTTTGATATTCTTTTTACCTCTTAGACAATAACTTATTTAATAATTTCTACATGTATCTCTGTACAGGCTTTAAAAAAACAGAATAAATTAAAGCACTATTATCCAAACAAACCACGTCTCAATCTATTCTGTTTTGTCACCTTGTTTATAGTTTAGAGAGTTTGAAGAGATTTAGACGTGTTGCTAGGCAACTAGCTCCTGAAGCATAACGTATTTCCTTCAACATCCCGGCCCATTCTTTTTTATCATCTTCATACCTGATAGAGGGAAAAAAAAATCAGTAAGCAGCTAGCTATTAAATAGATAGTTCTATAGGTTTCCCTGTGTTCCATATTCAAATGTGCATCTTTGAAAAAATTCCTATGGCTCTTACCCAGAGGAGGAGGAAGCCTGACTGGTAGAATAATACTTTAATTCCTTTCTAAATATGCATTTTCTTAATGAACATTTGCCTGATCTACTGCCACAGTATTTAATCTGGATACCTAGCAGTTTAATCTCTGGGAATCAAACTGTCCCAAGAAGAGGAGTAATGGATACCTACATAGTTAACCATTCTTTGGACTGATGAAGATGGTTGGTCTCTATGAGTCACAGTAAGCAAACTCTTCCTTAAGATTAAGAACTGGGGGCTGGGGTTGTGGCTCAGCAGTACATTGCTTGCCTAGCATGTGGGAAGTGCTGGATTCGATCCTCAGTACCACTTAACAGTAAATAAATAAAGTAAAGGTATTGTGTCCAACTACAACTAAAATTATACACACACACACACAAACACACACATATATATAAAGATTCAGAACTGGGGTAAAGCAGGGACTATTAGCAGCCTTAATTATGATTTCAGTTGTTCCCATTCACTAGTATCTAGCTTGGCACCTCATAAGGTGGTCAAGCCATAAAAAATTTGTTCCTCTTTCTCTTTGTCATTTGAGGACTATATAGACTTCACATTTGACTTTAGGTAAGAACTGCTCTGCATCTCTGAATAGTCAAAGTTATGAAGATACAAGTTGAAATCCCTTTGAATGTGTTTGTGACATGTTTACTCTGCCTAGTGTCTAGAATATTCTTCAAGCTTTGTCTGAGAAACTCCTAAATTCTGCCTTCTCTGAAGCCTTTCCTGCCTTCCTCAAGCAGAGTTTTCTTCATTTCTCATATAGTCCTTTGTATGATATTTATTATAGTAAATATTCTATTTAAAACTTTCTGTGTCCTCAATAAGCCAAAAGGTATTTAAGGACAACTAACGTATTTTTCTACCTTAGTATCAACTCCAGAAGCTATAAAGTCTTGGCACATAGGAAATACCCCAAATCATTCTATGATGAATCAGTGAGATTTAGAACAATTATTAAAATTAGCTGGTACTACTGGACATGGCGGTGCACTCCTATAATCCCAGTGACTCAGGAGCCTGAGATAAGTTCGAGGACAGCCTCAGCAATTTAGCAAGGCCCTAAGCAATTTAGTGAGACTCTGTCTCTAAAAATAAAAAGGTCTGGGGATATAGCTCAGTGGTAAAGCACCCTTGGATTCAATCCCCAGTACCAAAATATATATATTATGTATGATATATTAGCTGATACCTACATAAAATACTCATTATCTGGCTTAATTTCATCAGTGTACAAATTTAATTCTCAACAATAGTACTGGGCACTGAGTGATTTTTATGTAAAGAAAATCAGACAAAAATGTTTTACTGCTAATAAAAAAAAACCTTAATTATATAAAATTTGGAGCAACACTAAGAATTAAAAAATGGTTTTAAATGACCTAAAGAAAAAGTGACCGCATATAAGCATTAAGAGGTTGAGGCTAAATGTAATTTTTAAAAATTTTTAATATTTTTATATATCACAGTAAGATAGTCCATAGGCTTAGAGTATGGAATACTGACTGAGAGTTTTCACCTCTGTGGATAGAGAGCAGGTTCACTGGGATTCAAGGACAAGTGAAGATCAATGGCTCTCAACTTTGGTGCATGTCCAAGTCACCTGGAGGACTTGTTGAAACAGATTTCTGAGCTACCTTCATAGCTTCCAATTCACCAGCTCTAAGGTGAGATCTAAGAATTTGCATTATAACAAGTGCACAGGTAATGCAGATGCTACTTTGGGAACCAAAGTAGAT